ATTTCCGAAGAAGCGCGAAGTGTGCAGAATATCCAGTGTTCGGTAAACTTCGACGGTGTCTATGCCAATGCTACAGAGCGTGGCACACATAGCATATACAATTAAGCCGATTAACACCTTTAACAATAGGCGTTGCGAGTCTGTTGTATTACTAGTCTGAGATTCAAGTATGTACTTTGCTTTACACTTCAGGGTGTGTCCAACAAAGGTGTGGAATGGGGTGATTCACGAATATACAATAAACAGTGCTTCGGTATATATCGCTGTTTACTCAATAAATTGATAATCCGTCTGACCATGTTTACTACACGGAACAGTTAGTTCCGAATTCGGTAACACACACCCGGAAGTGCAATAAAATACGTTTGACGTCACATCAATGGGGGTTCACCTGAATTGCGTCACCAATGAATAGCACTACGCGTCAACACGAACAACACTCTCACGTTTCCACGCAAGGCTGTAGACAGATCGAAACGTGAAACTGTCGGTGATGTCAAAAGTGCGTAATATTGTCAGTATCGCTGAATAATAACAGTAGTAAAATTGTGTATTACTTAATTCAGGAAGTTGGAGCAAAGTAAACCTTTGAACTCCAAGAATAACTAATTAAATGACTAATTGTATGAAATGTCATCTAAAGATGTTAAGTTGTTAAAACTGATCGAGGTCAAACGTAAGTCAATAATACCGTATTTTGTTGACAGTGTTACTTAAAGTGATAAGATTCGTCGGTGAGTCAGGCCTAGTCGACAGCGTCACTCCCATCACAACATATCGTCATCACAGCCCACAAACATTATGTCATTTATTCACAAAACACACTCCCAAGACACGATAGACAATCGAAAAAGTGGGTATAATCGTTTAATGACAACAGTTGTGTGTATACTAGTTGCTCTGGGAAGATTTCTATAATACATAGCCAACATATTAAACGTTCTAGAAATGGGTAGTACCAGAATGCACCTACCTTCAACGCCATATTGGAGTCGCCTGACCTGAGCCAATGGGGTCATGTGATGAATGGACGTGACCTGAGCAGAAGACTACCTAAGTTGTCCAAAATTCACATCAACTCTGTACGGTCGGCTCCCGGGTGAGACGCAATTTTCCAAATAGTTTTTTTTTTTTTGCATTTGTTCCCCGTATTTGCTGTTACGAACGACAGACGTACAGTCCTAACTTTTATACTAGTAATCACCCCGGCAAAACAAAACATATTATTTTGGACTATATTATATGAGCTGGGTCAAGTGTTTTGGGTAGGATTGTCCCGAAATCAGATATATAAATACAGAAGGCACAGGTCACATGTCCCAACGGTTATATTATTTTTTTTAAACTTCTCAACAGAACATACGTAGGCCAAAATGAACATAACAAAATCCAAGATATGATTAAGATGTGATTATTTTGTTGAAAGATCTTGAAAAGTTGAAATAAGAATATAATTTATTTTTCAATAATACAATAAACGACTCCATTAGTTTGTTAAAAGTGGTACAAAGAACACCAAAATTAACTGGCTGAATCAAAATATAATTTGAGAAAACTATGCCGAACACTCTTTCATTGTGTTTGGCCGTGTTTGTATTGCCATAGCTATGCGTTATGGTGCGTTTTGACATCGTTGCGTGCAACTATCGTGTAGCAGAGATAACTTTCGTGCAATTCGTGTTTTGTTTTTGTTTTTATTTATTTATTTTTAATCGCCGGTAGGCTGATTCGTCTAAAAGTAATTTGTCAATTATCTTGAACAGGGCGCTCGTTTATCGCACAGAAATCAATGCCAACATGAAGATGCTCATCTGTTGCGTCATAAAGCTACTTTTAACCGTTTGGATGAACAAATCAGCTACCTGCTCAGGATATGAAACATATTATAATTCACTGCAGTTAGTAGCTGTACATTGTATATGAGCCAATCATTGGAAATGTTACAGTTTGTTTGAAAACAAATATTTGTTTTGCTGTATATTCGTTTAAACAAAACAAAAAAACATTGGAGTTTCCATACAACTAATTATATTTATATTTGCCACTTGGACTTTGATTTCTTACATTATGTTCGCTTCTTGATTGTGAATTAAAAACAATATTAAAGCGGCTACTATTTTTGAGTATTTTAAAATAAAATTGTGATAACATACATGAGTATGATTTATCGTTATATAAAATTAATGTTTAATGAAATACTGAAAAATTCATACTAGTGTAAATGTTCAAAGTATTAAAATTGAAAATAAATAGTTTTACAGTATACGTACGTGTCACATTTTAGTACTATTACTGGAATTGTTTATGCGGTTTTAAATTTGTGTCGTCTTTAATTGCCTCCTTGTATATGACATTATATTACACATATTTACTTTTATCTTAAATACAGTTTAATACTAATAATAATATAGATAAGTGAATACGCAAACTGTAAAATACAAAATAAATTCTAGCATGAAGCCCACGTGAGTTTCTGCGCCCTCGCCGATGGACACATATGCGAGTATGATATATTGAAGATAATATTTGGTAATCGTATATAGTCCTAAATAACTATTAAAAATAGCTAGACGTTTCGAGCAATGGCTCTTTATCGATAGCATAGAAGCAAGTGTGATAACGTACAGGTAGAACATAGGAACGTAAGAACGCGCATGAACTATAAGTTAGAATCACAAAAAAATTCCACAATAGAACAAATAACGCGCCTTAGGTAGTGAGCTCAACAAATGAGTTGAACTGTTTGTTAATACCATGGGGTTCTTTAGTTCCAAGGCGGAATATAGTTTCCTCCTCGACACGCCTGAGCTGATTTTCGTTGCCATTGACAACACATACACCAGAAATAGACATATCTGTAATATTATGTCCACTAGAATTAGATTGCGCATTTACTATGCATTTCTCCTTACAGATAACCCAATACCAATCAGCCTTGACATATATCATAAATATCAAGTCATTCGCTTCATCATAAGTCGACCGTCCGGGAACACATGAAAAAATCCTTTATCGCTTTATTGAAAGAAAAAAATACTGGAAAACTACGCCTGTAGCGATAACGGATGTATCGAGGGTGGATGGATGTCGGCGTACAATCAGATAAATTGACATAAAAATACAAGTAGCATGCGTTCAATTATTATGCAGCAATGCCCATACCTGACAATATTCATGTCCGAATAGCAGCCGGCACTCAGAAATCCCTACTCCATGGATTAAGTTCTATCTTATTTCAATACCTCCTGAAATATTCTAAGCCAATGACTTCTTGTTGCCAGGAATGTGTGTTACTTACCACAACTACAGTTCCAATCAGGTCTAGAGATAGTTATATACCACAACACCACAGACAGAAATATGAAATAAAATATAAAAAAATAAATGCATCTCCTGGCTGTCCACCTGAGTTTTGAAAATTTAAATTCTATTACCGGTTTTGCAAAATTCTTGTATCAAGTGCCCCGTCGGTCTGAACCGTAACTCTCTGGATCGGTCGACCACAGACATCGACGTATTTTCATAGTCACAACTTTCTAGTTACGCAAGAGAAAATATATGTATTTGGAGAAGGGCGGATTCACGGGAAACACGAGAGCTAAGCGAGATCTGCGAAATCAGAGCCGGGACTATGGCTAAATAGGTATTACACCAACTTAAACATATTAATACTGTATTATTTTACTATTATTTGTGACCATCGCCACTCTCTCCAGAGAGTGAGTAAGTGTT